AATGATATATATATATATAATTCATAGATACATATATAGTTTTTTTTATGACATATATATAAGTAATAATATTATTAATATATTATTCTTATATGTATAATCTATTCTTTTAAAAAAATTTATAATTACTATATATGCTTTTTTTAAAAAAAATTATGCAATTTTATTACATGGTGCCAAAGATTAATTCCTTGGACTTATTGGTATAAAATACAATAAAAAACTAAAATAGAAAAAATAGCCGCTAAAAATAAAAAATTGGATGTGGGAATGTCTGGTCCCTCTATCCCTATCCCAAACCTTAGACACATCAAACTAATTCAATACTTAACGGTCCCAAAATAATTGATGCCCTGCAGTTGTTTAATTAGCGAAACGCAGCCTAAAAATTAAGCCATGTCCAAATTAGACAATAAAATGTCCAACTTCACTCCGGAACTTTGCAAATCACGTCTCTTTCAAACTCAGCATCCAAATTCAACAATTCTTAAGACTCCTGGAAACAGCAGACTTTTAGCTCCTTTCCACCGGCTAATCTCCTACTCCCACAATAAATGATACCTAAAACTCTTTTAAGTTTTAACCATAATTATATACGACTTTACTAATTTTCAAAATAAAAAATTTACTCTAAAAAATATATTTCCTTAGATATATAAATTCAGTCATTAATTAATTATTAATATTTTTGCTAATTTAATGAAATAATAATTTATTTGAAAGAACAATTTTACTCTTTATTAATTTTAAAAATTACTATTATACGAACTTTTTTTTGACAAAAAAAATTCTTTCAAGCTAGGGGAGGGGAGCACCGAAGGGAGGGAAACACCAACCTAGTGCTCCCAAAAGAGGGGAGCACTAGATCAATGCTCCCCAAAGGAAGGGAGCACTGCGCACGAGCTTTGAAGGTAAACTCACGAAACTCGAGAAAGCCGTTTCGAGAAGCCTTCGTACATAAATCTAATTAACATATTTCATCCACATGAGGCTTTATAGCCATCATCATTTCATAAGCATTCTCTTAATTTAACATTCAACATTAACCTTCTGAACCCATAATCACTATGATTTTAATATCATCATTCACATAGGTATACGTTGACTAACACATTAATTCAGTCAAACATATCATTATATAAAACTAGTGCAAAGTAATGCCTGCATAATTCGTTAAAGACATAAACTAACATCATAGTGCGAAAGCATAACGCTCAACTATGACTCAATGGAATTGACTTGTCATAAGGGAAGGCTTACCGGATGCCAAATGTCCATCTTACAAGATGATGATGCTAAACCACCCGAACCTTGGTGTCTATTTATCTGCACAATACAGCTAAAAGGGTGAGTCATACAAATACTTAGTGTGTGGGAGCATAAATCGAAAGTAAATGTGTAAGGTTAATTGCTACACGTATCCTCTAAAAATACATACATTACATTTAGACTAAACATGAACATTATACGACAAGTGGAACATCACTTGTCATGAACCACTCTTAATCATAATTCGAGGTAGCTGTATTACGCTACGTACATATATACATTTTACATACGAGGGTAGCGCATTTTATCTTTACTTATCGTGTCTCATCATCATAGCCATCTATTGTCTTCATTCATCATATGAATCGGCACACCATATGGCTAAAATTGTACAACGATCAATTGCAATCCAGCAACCAACAGCAACCGTCAATTGTTCCGATCGGCTTAGTCGTTGAGGGGGTTTAGGGAATTAATGTAGCACATCTGCTACTATTCTTCCCCTCAACCGCCCTTATTTTCACTCCCCTTTCTACCTCTCCTTCTGATACTAAACCCTAAACTAGTAACCACCAACCAAGGCACTTGGTTCTATTCTTCAATCAGTGCTTCATTATCAGTCTAACTTGCTGCCAATCATCTATTCTAATAAGGTAAACCATAGATTTTTTTTTGTTATTGATCTTATGAAAATAACAAGAGAAAGCGAGCTTGAGAGATTATGAATATTATTTTTTATAATTAAAATTCATGCTAGAGAGGAAATATGTTAGAGATTATGAGTATGATATGTTGTTTTTTGCTTGTAAAAATTAATTTTAGTGCAAATAAAAATAATTCCAAGGGATTAGAAAAATGATAGGTTTGATTTTTAATTTTTGAGAATTAAATTTTTTTCTCAACTGTAGATTATTTCAACCTTAGTTAACATTAAACATTTTAAATATTTTAATATTTAGAATTATTGTTTGGATAATTAATGAAAATGATTTGATGCTAGAATTAAACATTAAGAATTATGTTGAGGAATTAATGTTTAGAATTATTGTTTTTGTTTTTAATTTAAACGATGGGTAATAAATTAGGATTAAACATTAATAATTATGTTTGGGAATTAATGTTAAAATTATTGTTTAGATTTTTAATTAAAATGATTGGTAATACGCTAGAATTAAATATTAAAAATTATGTTTGAAAATTAATGTTTAGAATTATTATTTAGATTTTTAATTAAAATGATTGGCAATATGTTAGAATTAAATATTAAAAACTATGTTTGGGAATTAATGTTTAGAATTATTATTTCGATTTTTAATTAAAATGATTGGTAATATACTAGAATTAAACATTGGAATTAATATTTGGATATTACTTTTTTCATTTTGTAGATGTCAACCAATGAGGAAACAAATGTCATAATTAGTGAAACACCAACACCAACACTATTAATGTCTACACCTCATGTTACTGCTAGTTCTACTGAAACCAACAAAACATGTGAAGTTGTAAGTGAAGTGCGAAAGTGAAGGGAGCCATCTTAATCTACATCGGTTGTGTAGGATCGCTTCACTAGATTTGTTAATAAGAAAGGTAATAAGAAGGCTAAATGTTCTTATTGTGGTTAAAAATTTAAAACATATGAATAAATAGAATTGAAATGAAAAAAATAAATAAATAAAAATAAAAATAATAATATAAATTGAGAAAAGAAAACAAAAAAAAACTTTAAAATTGTGACATGTGAAACTATTTTGTTTTTGTTTATTTGCATTAGTTGTTAAATAAAAATTATTTTGAAAGAGCTGTTAAATAAATATATAAAAAATTTAAAAAATTTTATATAATATAAAAAACCCCTCCAAAAGTAAATGAGGCTTTGCCCCTACTAAATCCAATCAATTAATGGATATCCAAATATGTTAGCTGTTTGAAGTTGGCAGAAGTAGGATATGTGACTAGTGCTTAGCTAGGCAAAACTTTAATTAATAAGAGATGAGCCTATTTGTGAGAGATGGTAATGGATATCTTGTAATTTTGAATCATGTATTACCCGACTCAAATTAAGTATGATTAAGGCATTTTTTAATTAATCATATTTTGGTAACATTTGGATGGTAAAATTACTATTGCCACAAGTTTAGGTATTGGTCTCGAGTATCGCTATTCAAATCCGATTATAAATAATCACTTTTAATATCAAATTTTAGTTATATATATTTATAAATTATTTATAATCGATAGAATACTTACTAAAATTCATTAACTGTTCGAAATACTATATTTAACTTTAGTTACTTAATGTTATAATGAGTTAACTTTAATGTATTAATTTAATTTTCAGTAATAATATATTTAAAATTTTTTTCAATTTGTTTATTTTTGATAATTCGAGTTTGAGTCAAGTTTAATAATGAGTATCCATGTTATTTATAAATAATCTGGTTTGAATCTTGGCAAGTATTAGTAATTAGGTTTGGTATTAGGTAATTGATTTTTAATCAAGTTCGAACAAGAGATAGATAATTAAATTTTATTTAAGTTTAGATTCAAGAGTACTTCAAAATGAACTAGTATTGTGCTCATTACCGCTCCTACTAATTGCTTATAACACATTCCATCATTCCTGATTAATACTGACCTTTCATCATGTAAGAACTAAAGTCATTCATGAATCTCTATTCATTCAATATTTAGAGTGAAAATAAATTGAGCAACAGAAATTAAAACAAACAAAAAGGTTAATCCTTGTTAGATAAAATAATTGGAATAATGCACATTTTAGGGAAAATTACTTTTGGTCATTAAATTTTATTTAGTAAAATAAAGCCATCAAAAGGTTTATTTTTGGTACAAATTGCTATAAACAAAAATTGGACATTACAGGAACCAAAAGTCTATTAAAAATATTAACATGAAATGCTATACTGGGCACTAATGATAAATTTAAAATTTTGCATGAGAAGTGACTGAAAGATAATTATAAAGATAATTATACTATATATATATATATATCAAATTTTATACATAAATAATAAAGAAAATTAAAATCTGAACTTCTGCCACCAGCTTGGCTTGGCTGCTGTTGGGCACCATAACCTAGATTTTCCCTATGAGGTTCAAAGTTTCTGTTAATGTTTTTTTCTTAGAACTCATAAAATCTTCAATTCTCAGCACAACGGTAAACAGGCTCTTGAAGAATAAGTCTGGCATGTTAAACCTATAGCTTATTTAAACATCAGAGACCACAATTTTCTTTTCCCATTAGCGAGGTACAAATTCTTAAATAAGTTAGTAGTCTTTCATTCTTTTGTAATGTTTTATTTTCATTCATGACTTAAAAATTTTATATTTTTTATTTACGTCTCGTCAGTTTGCATTAAAATTTAAATAGAATGTGGATAAAATTTGTCATGTGGTACTTTGGTAGATATACACATGATAAATTTTATCGAAAATTAAACGGTACGTTGAAAGATGGATGAATTTGAAACAAAGTCAATAGGTCGTGGATGGAGAAATTAATTTTTTCAGATTATAAATGAAAATAAAACATTTCCAAAAGATAATATATTGATTAATAATAAAATTTATTCTAAACTCTTTTGTTAATTCAATTTATTCAAACAACTTTTCCATATAGCAAACACCATTACAACCAGTGGTAATGCTAATAAAAACATAAGACCAAAGAAAATAAACTCCAAGGCTGAACATGTTAAATGTTGTCTTCTCTATATAAAGGTCGCCGAACTAATTGGAGAGCCAGCAAAAGGGGCAGCAGTAGGTGCAGAAGGAGCATCGCAGTAGCCTGTAAGTCTTTTGTCTTCCTCATATGTGAAACCAATGGAAATGAACATGCCAGGCCAGCAGTCATTGATTTTGAGAATGTCACTGCAACATTTATGGCCAATACCTTGTTGGCCATTGATGACTAAGAAGCCAACAATCTGAGGCATGCAAGATTTCAGGTCATTCAGTGCAATCCAGCACTTAAGAAGGCCTTTACTAGCCTCAAGCCTTGCTGCAAGGTCATGGCCTGGTGCCTTGTAGCCGGATAGCTCCCTTTTTGCAGTTGCACTAGTAGCCAAGAGGCAGAACATGGACAAAAGAAGAAACACATTTTTGCGAGCCATGCTAATGTAAATAGTTGATAGGGAAAGAGAGCAAACTGATGGATAGATGCATGAGGAGAAGGTGAGAGTCTGGGAGGTTATTTATAGGAGAAATATGAGAGGGAGATGGAGGAAAGAACTAAAAAAAGTTAAAAGGTGTGATTGGTTTCATGATTACGAGTTCTAATTGTCTTAACCAAAAGATTAATTAAGAGAAGATGATGGGTTTGTATAACTGGAGTAACTGCAATTAGTCATGTAACTTGCATGAAGCCATGGAGGAGTGTAACAACAGCGGGTTTCCAAGTAGCAATAGGTACTTGCCTTCCTGTCCAAGTTGATGCGAGACGGAAACATTTGAGCAAAGCCTTCAGAATTTGTGCCTGAGTAGTTCCTTAATGAACATGCCAGGTTTGATGGAAGGGGTCAAGGTTTTGAGTGTATACCATTTGGTTCTAGCGGAAGGATGAGTCTAGCCGTCACTTTTGTACTTCAAGTCCTACACTTGGCATCGTGTCGGCTGCTTCCTGGTCAGACAAAGCAGTCGATATTGGACTCCTTTGATATGTCTCTTGTATTTCTTGCTTGGATTTAGTAGGGATGTTTGTAAGGTTGAAGGTTTAGGAGGATGTAATCAATATAGGTTCTGCTAATTAATAAATTATTAAGAATTTTTTCTTTTTGAATAAAAATATGATATGATTATTTTTTTATAAAAAAATTGACATGACACTTAAACGACAAAAAATATCTCATAGAGAAATAAATTTAATAATACCCTTGTTCGAGAATATATAATTTTGTCATGTTATATATATTTTTGAAACACTTTGTATTTAAGGGGTTAATTTTTTTAACTAAACAATCACATATAGTAAGCCCTAAACAGTATTTTCTTGATTTATAATTAAATTTAGCTTTAGATCAAGAGATCATATTTGTAAGTTCCCATTCCTTTTCGTTTTATATTTTTGTTTTGAATCATGATAATGATTTCTTATTTTTCAAGAAAAATATTTGAACACAATAGTGACACTAATACTTCTTTACTTGAAAGTAACGAAGATGTTTTTTTTTTTTTTGAAAGAATAATGGCTGCATCATCATTTTGCAAACGTGCGCAGCTTTCCTCAAGTTTTCATGAATTTCAGTGCTTTGGAAATTCATCTACCTTCCTAACTTCATCTCTACCACTTCAATATTACTCTTAGTGCGTGAAAATGTATATATTATAAAGTTTCTTTTAGTATGTTACCACCCAAAATGGAAAAAGGACTTGCTTGCTTTATCCTTTAGCGTGTTGTCGCTTTGATGCCATACTAAAGAACATGGACCTTCACTACTCTTGAGTAATTTTGGTGCCATGGGTTCATTAATCAGAATGTGTTGTGTTATCAGCAATCAAACTGTTCTGGCAGAATCCCTCCAACCATGAACCATGTCTAACCTAAGCTCCTTGAGTGTCTTAAACTTGTCCATAGAGTACTCAAATGCTGTAATGTTCAGCAGCTGTATAGGAGAAAAAGTGGACAATCGACATGAAGTGGACTGGTTCTGTCTACGCCTGCAATTGGGATTTTGGTTAGGAGTCTTATCACCTCTCCATTCTAGTAATTCTGCATTTGCAAACTGTTTGTTAAGATTACACTACCTCAACGCTCTTCATTGTTTGCCAATCAGAACTCCGAGTTGTATTTCTATCTAATAATTTTCTCAGCAGGCAAACAATTTTATTCTAAAATCAGTCGTCTCTAATTCGCTAAGTACAAAATTATGAGCGTCTTTGTCATCCTATAGTTCAACATCTGGCGCAATAGTCAACAGAAAATCATGTGCAAATAGTCTTGCACAGCCAAATATTGTCTATGTTACATGCATCTAGACTTGAAAGATAGATATCAGACCAATGAACCTAACAATAATCCTCTGAGTCTGACATTGGATAAAGTTGAAAACTAAAGAGACAATAACGTGATTCTCTTTTCTTTTGACTGAAATTGTAGCCCTTTGACACCCAATCAGAATGGAAACCAATCAACTTGAAAAGCTGCTCCCTCTAAGGCATGACCAAGGATGCTACTTGGAAATTTCTCAATAAATGGATAGAGTAGGAATTTGTAAGAAATCAGTGTGCATCAGTTAGCAAATACTTTGAGAGATACTCTCTGGAGGAGAGCCTTACAACAAATTTAGCTTGAAACCTGAAGAAACGTGCTTGTGTCTGCCAGGATGATATAGATATTCCAGATTCACCAGAAAGGCGGTGGGATCATCAGAATATAGGAAATAGCGTACTGGTAGGTTTTTGTTTCTCTCTACTTCTCTGCTATAGTTGGTGCCATTATGGCAAAGAACATTCTGGTGACTGGTGGTGCTGGTTTTATTGGAACCCACACAGTGCTGCAGCTGCTATTGGCGGGTTATAATGCAGTGGTGGTGGACAATCTCAATAATTCCTCTGATATTGCCATCAGAAGAGTCAAAGAACTCGCCGGCGAATACGGCAACAACCTTGACTTTCACCAGCTGGACCTTCGAGACAAAGCAGCTTTGCAAAAACTTTTTACAGAAACAAAGTTTGATGCTGTAATACACTTTGCTGGATTGAAAGCAGTGGGTGAAAGCATGAAGAAACCATTGCTGTATTACAACAACAATCTCATTGGAGCAATCACCTTATTGGAAGTCATGGCTCTAAATGGATGCAAAAATCTTGTCTTCTCATCATCAGCTACTGTTTATGGTTGGCCAAAGGAGGTTCCATGTACAGAAGACTTTCCTTTGGCTGCAATCAATCCTTATGGACGAACCAAGCCTTTCATTGAACAGATTTGTCGAGACATCCAACATGCGGACCAAGAATGGAACATCATATTGCTAAGATACTTTAATCCTGTCGGTGCACACCCCAGTGGCTATATCGGAGAAGATCCCCGTGGAACACCAAACAATCTCATGCCTTACATTCAGCAGGTTGCTGTTGGCAGGCGACCTGCCTTGACTGTATTTGGGAATGATTATTCCACCAAGGATGGAACTGGGGTACGTGATTACATACATGTTGTGGATTTAGCAGAAGGTCACATTGCGGCACTGCGAAAACTATGCGATCCCAAAATAGGCTGTGAGGTCTACAACTTAGGTACAGGAAAAGGAACATCAGTTTTGGAGATCGTTGCTGCATTTGAAAAGGCATCTGGGAAGAAAATTCCTCTTGTAATGGCTGGCAGGCGACCCGGTGATGGTGAAATAGTTTATGCTTCAACAGAGAAGGCAGAGCGTGAGCTGAATTGGAAAGCTAAATACGGCATTGAAGACATGTGCAGGGACCAATGGAACTGGGCCAACAAGAACCCTTATGGCTATCAATCTCCGCCGGAGTAAGCTGATAACTTTTCGTGCTTTTTCACGGGCTTGCCCTGTTCCTGAAGCCTTTTTCAGATTTAAGTTGCCGAACGTTTGTGGGAAATCTTTTAATCTGTCATTAACGTGTTACTACTGAAATAAAATTGTAATGACCCATAGATTTGGCATGATCATATCCTAATTGTTGATAATTGTGACTCATTACTTGCATAAAACATGGTGTCACAAGTCGAATCCAAATCTTCTACCTCCATTTTGTACCCCAACTCAAATCTCAATTTTCTGCCTCTATTTCCTATCTCATTCTGTATTCCAACTCTCACAAAACACCACTTGTCTCCCGTTTTATTCCTTAATAATACATGTTTGGGCTTAAGTTTTTTTTCCCTTTTCTTTCACTCTCATATTTTTTCCCCTCTTTCTCTATTGGCAGATGGTTGGTAATCTTCTTTCTTCTACTGCTTGTTATTGTTCCGGCAAACCAACATCGCAATCCCAATACTAATCGCCCAAAGCTAGCATTCACTATAAAATCTGTTATGTCTTATCCTCACCCTTGGGCGTAAAGCTTAGTTAAAATTGACAACATGAGCACCAGAGGGCTACTGCTAAGTGCTGAGCAGTAGCAGTTACTATTTGCCAACAACCCTATATATGTACTCAACACCATTTTTTGTAAACAAATGATGTTAAAGCTAAAATATTTTAGCCTTAACAATTGTAACTGTCTTTAATGTCTCAATAGCAAAGCCACTTTTCTGTCTAATTCAAAGGTTAACCCCTAAACAAGTTGTTTATAGTGCAACATTTAATCGATAAAAACAAATAATAGTAGAAAACAAGCAAGTTCCTTCCCACCCTCGAAGAAGAGTAGTCTTTATCATGTTAACATTTTCCAGTTATTTGAAGTATGAGAGCTGCATATACAGTACAATTTCAATGACTAATGCGTGCCAAAACTGCAATACCACTTATTTGTACGTTGACGCTATTTCCAAATTGATTGGATCAAATAAATGCTCACATATCTAAAGGTCCAAATGCATTTTGATCCTCAGACTGTGCATCCCCTAAAAATGAATCCATCTTTGGTCTTTGTTGTTGTCTTGTAAGAGGGAAGTTCCAAAATGAATCAGAATTCTTGAAGAATATGTAAAATGCAACTGCTGATGCCAAAAATAGTCCTAAAAGCAGCAAATAAATCTGCCACTCTGCACATGAAAAGAAGATCATCATTCTTCTATCCTTGGAATTGTTCACATGCACCTCGAGAGAGAGAGAGAGAGGAATACCTTTCCAGTCTGCAGGAACATTTAATTTTGTTACCATAGCTCCCCATTGACTCGAAGTTGTAAGCACAACCCTGCAACAAAGAAATCATGAGAGAAACCAAGCAGATAAACAACCGATATCATACATTCCAGGGTACTATCTCAGGGATGTAACTCCTCACATCTTTTCCAATAAGTAAATTTTGGAGACAAAGTTTATAAATATATCGCATGGCTAGTTGGTTTATTATATGCCAACATGAAGTTAAGAGGGTCAAAAGTTAAAAAGAGGCTATAATTCAAACACACGGAATAAACAAATGGCACCAAACCGTCTTTAAAATTCTTCAAGATCCCTTGGTGCAATGGTATGTGCAATATTGTCAAGACAGGGACTATGACATGTTTAGGATTCATACACCCTTTAATGATCTACACTACAATGTATGATAACAACAATAAGTTAGTATGAAAATGAACACCAACTCACATCAACTCTAATTAATTTGATTAATGGCCTCAAAACAAACTAACACTCAAATGAAAAATAAATAAAACAAGAAACAGAGAAAGGATCAAACCACCTTATTTAATTAAATATAGTGCTTCCAACAAATGGAATGTTAATTGGATCTATAACAACATAGGTTGAAAGATTGCCACAAGTACATTTAGATAATGTTAAAATTGTGATCCAGAGAGGAGATCATGGAGTGCCAATGAAGATAATGGTGTTTAATGAAGACCGAAAGAGCAAAACAATAATCTAGAAGAGACATCACCTAAGGACTGGCAAAGCACAACCGTGTTTACCCATCTAGTGCGGTCAGCAGAATGACACACAAAGCAGGATTTAAAAGTAACTTCTTTTAGAAAGCCCAAATAAACATGGGATCAGACAAAGCAAAGACAACATAAGCAGATATGCTTTTAAATAAAATATAACTTTCTGGATCTAAACTACCATGCAGTTGCTTAAAAAAAACCTACAAAGCAAGTATAAAAATCCCATTTGGAGCATTTCTTAGTCATCTCTATGGTAATAACAACCACGTCATCTTTGTTTAATGAGATCCTTTCAATCTAGAAAAGGTCAAGGGATCCACAATCATTTAAGGTTGATCACATGACTCTGCAATCTAGAAACACTATTGGAAAAAACTAAATACCAGAATATTTGCCTTGTCAATGATTAGCCAAAATAGTACTTGCAAACAGAATTTTACCTTTGACCAGGACAGAACTCTAACAACGAAATGGATGCACCCAGGTGTAGCCTCTTGCTCCAATGGCTGATCTCCATTTTCTTTACTTCAACCACACAGATGTCTCCATCTTTGCTTCCGCTAGAATGAAAACAATCAAACATAATTATCAATGAACATACCCATTGAAACATATTATAAATGTAATCAATTCTACAAATCTTTCCAAGCACCATAAACCAGTGCTTGGTATGTATAAATCCTGACTGCCACATCCTTCCCTTTTGTCTCCCACAGTTCTTTCCTTTCTATCAGTCCCTACTCCATTCTCTCCATGAGAACCCAGACAAGTTAAACACATACATAGACATGTATATTGAGTATTGACACACATGCACAATTCCCACTTTTTGCTACAATATAACCAAGGAAATAGAGCTCTGAAATATAAAGCTGTTCCAAAGCAAGCATGAAATTCTACTGTGACAAAAAACATCACTTGAGAATAAATTTGAAAACCAAGACTATAGGACATTTAACAATTTCAAACAGTCAAACCAAATTAAACCAAACCGACCAAAAGCAATGATGCTTCATTTTACTAATTTCCAATATGAACCTTGATATTAGAAAGAAGAAATCAAAAAGGCATTGCTTAATGCTTACAGAGCAAGATATTTGCCATCCAGGCTAATAGATATAACAGAAGCAGGCTTTCTGAGTAACCTCTTATGTCCAATTTTATTCCACGTACTTATGTCATAAACTGCAGTAAGTGCTTTATCACCTGTCACATTACAGCAGTACAGTTCATAAAAGTCAACTAATAACAGAAGGTAAATTGTTTACTTCATACAAAACCATGCATACCCTTTTGAACAGTACAAAACAAAAATGGTTTTGTCCCATCTTTGGAGAACCGACATAATTCGATCTTTTCATCCTACAGAACGGACATACCAAAAATTTGTTAAAGACCAACTAAATTTTGCAGTACACAACAAAAACTATTTGGTTGAAGAAATGGTACCGAGTCGCGAGCTAAAGTTGTCAAAGGCACACCATCTTCTGTCTTCCATATTCTTGCTGAACCATCAGTAGATGTTGAAGCTAAGAACTCTGAATCTAGGCTAAAATATGACAAACAAACCAGGCCAATTCAAAAGTTAGGTTGGAAAAACCATCAAAACAAATCAAATTCAGTATACCCAACTTTAGAAAAATATATTCTATGAACCACTTTTCATCAAATGCCATAGATGTAAAAATTTTCAGCACATTTTTAAAGGTCATTAGAAATTTTATGTCAAATAAAGAAGACTTATAACGGCCTACCTTATTGTCTAAAATATTTCTAGAAAGGAAACCAGATTAACACATTTTATATTTTTAAAAAATACCTTCTTAAATAATTTAACTTTGCACAGCAAGTTAATGGGAAAAAAAAGATTATGTTTATGATTACATACAAATGGGCTCAATTCCTACCTAAAATCCATATCCCGAAAGGATTTATGCGCTCTTACTTCATCTACAATGATGCGAAGACTTGGCCATTCCAAGATTCTAAGATGCCCATCCTATTGTTGATAAAGACAGACATTACCAACATGAAAATAAACCAAAAGTCTTGATCAAAGTCCAGGTGACTGCTTACCACCCCACCAGTGGCAAATCTAGAGCCATCAACACTGAAAGCTAGGCATTTCTGTGGACCAGCATCTCGGAAAGGAGGTAGTTCTTTGGCAAACAGCTTTAAATTTGTTTCCTGACCATACAATTCGAACAATCTGCACATAAAGAGAATATCTCATTCTAGAAGACCATTCTTCTGAAGACTCAAAGGCTAATGGCTAACGCAAAGTAATTCTTAGTTATATTAACCATCAATATGAAATGTCAAAACTTCCCTTTTTTCTCAGGCCACAATGCATAATATCATGTGTACTTAAATAAATAAATAGATAATAGGCCCCACTAATAAATGACCATACGAGAGTGAAAGAAAGAGAGTCATGAACAAACAAATAGATAAAGGAGCATTAGATGGTAATAACAACACAGTTTACATAAACAAATACCCATGAGACCATTACTTTTCCAAGGGATCATAGAGGTAGAGGATATGTCTCTGGTGCAAAGGGGCTGAGGCAGGGTGATCCCCTTCTTCCTATCTCTTTGTCCTGGTCATCGAAGTGCTTTATAGGCTCCTTAATGATGCTGCTAAGAGACAGATCTTTACTTATTAGCCCTACTATACCAAAGTAGCACCACTTCACCTTTGTTTTGCGGATGATGTTATGATTTTTACTAAGGTAGATATTCATTTTGTCATTACCATCCAACGTATTATGGAACTTTTTTACTATATGAAAGGGCTTCAAATGAATACTGTCAAGAATGATTGTTTGCAGCAATGATTCGATATCGGGATCTGGCAACTATTCAACAAGCTACTGGGTTTAAAATTGGTTGTTTACCAGTTAGGTACCTAGGTGTGCCTCTTACTAAAGGTAGACTGATTGAAAATATTGCAGCAGCTTGATCCAGAAACTTACATGCAGAACCAATAGATGGGGCTCAAGGAATCTAACATCTGGCAGACTCCAATTGATCAGTTCAGCCCTCTTTAGAATCCACAACTTTCTTATCTTACAAAATCTATTGAAAATTACACACAAAAGCATGTCCTATCCAGGAAAAGAAAAAAAAAAGTTGAACAAAAGCTGTAGTAAGATATTCTTGATATCTTATGATTTTCCATAAAAAAAAAAGAGTTTCATAGAAGTCGTACGTAGGCAAGCCTCCGTAATTCAGTAGGCATTCTTCAGTGCAAGTTTACAACACAGGTCTAATCCACAGAAACACAATCCTGCAAGCAAATTCCATGCAGGAGTGAAGCTTAGAAAA